ACCGGACCACTCTTGCTGCTTTTGGAGAATGGACTGGAGGGGGCAAGAACAGAATTAGAGACCAGTCAGGATACTACTTGGGTGGTTCTGGTGACAGATGATCAGTGGCTGTGGTGATGGGAGAAAAGTGGATGTATTTGAGACACAATTTGGAGGTAATATTGATTGGACTTATTGACTGGGATGTGGGGAGATGATGAGGCTGATTCTTGAGTTCTGGCATGATAGTTATGTATTTGGAATTGTTTATAGAGTCTACCTTTCAAAAGATTCTGTATTCCGAAAATACCTCACATGAGATTCCTCCTTTCCCCTCTTAGTGCAACCATCTTGTTTCCAAGTTGTTATAACTATTTAGATCACGTTCCTTCTTATTAATTTCCCTACCTCTTGTCTATGTCCACTTCAAATTACCCTTCATTGTATTATCTTCCTCATACAGCTTCGGTCACATTATTCCTCTTTCAAATATTTGCAATGGTTCCCTATCTTCTACTTAAGTACAAACTCCTTACCTTGGCTTTCAAAGCTCCATAACCTACCTTTCCAGTCCTATTTCCACCACTTCACTACTGAAGTCCTACTTTAGTTAAAATGGATTACTTGCTGCTCTTTGAAAGCGTCAACACACATTATTACCTCAGTGCTTTTGTTCAAGCTATTCCTTTGGTCTTATCTCAATCTGCTGAAATCTCATTCAACTTTCAAAGTTCATTCAAGGTTCAATTTTTAAATCTCATAAAGGCTGGTAATTCTCTTAAGGCCCTCTGATACCTGCCTTTTATTGTGGTTATTAGAGTACTTATCTCACATCCATCCCCTAACCCCTTACTGAGTGTACATAATACCTGTGAGTGTATAGCTCTATTACTCATACTGCAGCACCACTGTCCTTGCCCTTGCAGGGTCAAGCTTCGCTCACTGTAGGTACATTTTATTGAATTTATTTGGAACAATTCATGTTATCATGCTTAAAAGTGATGAGACCCAAGTTGTTGAAGAGAAGATGTTTTCCACTAGCATTTGCCGGCACCAGAGCTTGTAGCAAAACTCATCTTCCACCAACCTCCCTGCAATCATACACAAGACATACCCCTTTAGTAGAGTCTTCAGGCTGTTTACAATACTCCAATGCAGCAGTCCTCGGGAGCTTACCCTTTCCTTAAAATACTCAATATTAAAAATTACAGTCTATAACTTAGGATTTTTCTTTTCTTTTTTTTTCAATCCTCACCCGAGGACATTTTTCCATTTTTTACTCAGATAGAGCGGGAAGAAGAGAGAGGAAGAGAGAGAAACATCAATGTGAAAGGTACACATCGAGCGACTGCCACCCACACGACCCAACCAGGGCCGGGGACAAACTGCAGCCAAGGTACATGCCCTTAGCGGGAACCGAACCCGGGTCTCTGTGGACCGCAGGCTGACGCTCTAACCGCTGAGCCAAACCGGCCAGGGCTATAATTTAGGATTTTTCAAACTACTTGTAATCTATTAATGGATCACAAAATCAATTAGTAGGTCATAAACAAAACTAAAAATAAAATAGAAAATAGCTAAACACAATGCCTACAGAAAGGATAAGTAGTGTTTCCTGAAACTTTTATTTAAAATACATGTTTAGCCCTGGCCGGTTTGGCTCAGCGGTTAGAGCGTTGGCCTGTGGTCCGGAGAGACCCGGGTTCGGTTCCCGCTAAGGGCACATACCTTGGTTGCAGTTTGTCCCCAGCCCTGGTTGGGTCGTGTGGGTGGCAACCACTCGATGTGTCGCTCTCACGTCGATGTTTCTCTCTCTCTCTCTCCCTCTCACTCTATCTGAACAAAATATCGAAAAATGTCCTCGGGTGAGGATAAAAAAAAATAAAAAATAAAATAAAATAAAATACATGTTTAGCCCTGGCCAGTTTGGCTCAGCGGTTGAGCGTCGGCCTGCGGACCAGAGGGTCCCAGGTTCGGTTCCCACTAGGGACACGTACCACACATATACACACAAATAATATTAATAAAAAAAAATACATGTTTAGCCCTGGCCGGTTTGGCTCAGCGGTTAGAGCATCGGCCCGTGGACCTATGAGTCGCGGGTTCGATTCCAGTCAAGGGCACATACCTCAGTTGTGGTTCATCCCTGGCCCTGGTGGGGTAGTGAGGGAGGCAACCAGTCGATGTGGCTCTATCACATCGATGTTTCTCTCTGTCTCTCTCTCCTTCCCTCCTACTCTATCTGATAATAAGTAGAAAAATATCCTCGAGTGAGGAATAAAAAAAAACAAACTTAAAATACATGTTTATCCCTAGCTGGTGTGACTCAGTTGATGCACCCGAAGGGTCAAGTTGCTGGTTCTATCCCTAGTCAAGGTGTGTACAGCTGGCAACCGACTGGTATTTTTCTCTCACATTGATAGTTCATTCTCTCTCTCTCTCCCTTTCCCTCTGCTCTCTCTAAAATCAATAAAAACATATCCTTGGGTGAGGATTTAAAAAATAAATAAAATAAAATACATGTATATACATATGTCATGATATAAAACATTTCTTACTATGGGTTTCAGTAAAAAAAGTTTGAAAGCTAGTGCTGTAATGCTCTCCAGCCCACACAAAGATCAGCACATTGAATTCAAGCAGGGAACGTAAGATGCTAAGGACATAGTAATGAGACTATCTGATTCAAAATTATTCACACCTTAAAATGTGAAGAATGTCTGATATACCTAACTCTTCTCTTTGGGTATCTGCATTTAGGTATTTTTAAGTCAAATTAATCTTGAATTAGTAGGAAGTGAGACAGAAATAATTTTGGACTATAGGCCTTCTTGGTACCTATAGCAAGGATTTCCTCTGGGTTTAGGAACCAGGAACTCCATTGCTAAAAGGTACTGGTTTCTAGATAACAGAGAAGTGAAGATGTGTAACAGATTTACAACTAGAATGCACTTTTTCTTCCATGCACATGTCAGGCTTATCAATTTATGGTTGCATGTATGTATTTAAACCTATTCCTGAAAAATGCAATCCTTTATATCTATATCCATGTGGAAGAGCTATGTCTGATATGAGGCAACATGAAGCTGCAAGCTGATCTAAAAATGAGAAATACTGTGAGTTACTGAAGGCAGTGGCACATGTAAGATAGGAAGAGGGGATGGATATGGGATAAGGTAGAATGGGCAAGAGAGCTGAGGAGGGGTAGGATACAGAGAAAACAATTTAATTTTCAGTCAGTTGTATGTCCCAATGATAGTATATAACAGAAGCCCACCAGTAGTGCACTGGTAGTATTTGACTGGCAACACAAAAAGGAAAAATTCCAAGTCCTAATTCCAGCCCTGGCTCCATTTAACAGTCTGCCCCTTATAATTTGTTGCTACTACTTGTGTTACATTCTGAATTTATAATTTAGAAACCAACAGTGAATATCCTAACTAATTTAAACACTCCTAATTGTCAATCACAATCCCAACAAATAAGTGGGTCAGAAACAAGGTAGAAGGTGTGGGAAGTTAAAGGTAGTGTGGTGCAAAGAACCCTAGATGGGAGTGCTGATAAACTGGGTTGTATCTGAGTGATACTGAAAATTATATAACCTAAAGCCACTTTTAAAATTTTTAATTCCACAAGACAGGGAAAACACGACCTTTATTTGGAAGAAATAAAGATCATCTTGGTTTGATATATAATAGGCAAATGGCAATGATATTAGCCAAGGTTGTTTAAATATGAATTAATGCTTCTCCCATTATCTAGATCAGGTTAACACTCTTAGGTGATATTATATGTCAATGTCTCAACTGACTACTGGATAAATTCCAAAGTTCTTTCTGGCATTTAAGATATTCCACAACTTGATCTCAAACTTCACACTGTTCAGTTCTCTAACCCTCTGCTCTTGTCCCAGTCATGTTTGCTTCATTCTTCCCCGCCCTTACTCTCCTAGCTAAAGTCCCATAACCTTCATAAAACCTTCCAACTACTCAAATATTTCTATATCAAATCTTGACCTTTGAATTCCTACAGAACTTTACAGAAACCTTATCAAAGGAGGCATTATTGTTTTCATTTCATAGGTAAGAAAACTGGGGTCCAGAGAGGTTAAGTAGCTTGTCCAGGGTCCCACAATTTCTAAGCAGCATGCTGCTTCCACATAGTATAAAAACCATGGAAAAAGGAGGAAGTAAAAAAGCCTATAAATCAGTTTTAACACAGCTTGTTGTGACACAAATTCAGATGCACCACATCCTTTGAACCACAGAAGTAATGAACGCTTGGGGTAGCATGGATAGTTTATAAGGGGTTGTCAATCCTGTTTCCCAAGCCCAGTATTAAAACAAAATTCCAGTGTAAATGACAGGTGGGTTAAGGAAAAACAAAAGTCATATGGTATTAAGAATAAAATTTAGAAATGGGACAGAAAAGAGATGAAAGTGTAATATAAGCTTGGAATACACAAAACAGAGACTCAGAATATGGGGCTGAGGATCCCCATAGAGCTAACATAAAATACTTAAGTTAGGGGTCCGATGCTATGATAAGAAGCACACCAGGGAGAGTTGATACAGGGAAGGGCAAAAATAGATCATACAGACAATACAATAATTAATGAACAATAATAAACGATGTGTTTGGTGTACTCACAACTGTAAACCTACTTTTGTCCAACCCTGTATTAATGACAGACAGCAGTCCACATGGCCAAAGAGTAGAACTCAAGAGAAACAAATAAGGGTAGGTCGTGGGGACACGGGGTAGATCATGGCAATAGAGAGGGTGGTGGCACCAAATGAAGGGTACAGCAGGGGTCGAAGAGAAAAGGTGAAGAGGTTCAGAGGGCACAGCACCCCCAGACTCCAGACAAGATTTGTCTTTCAGTAGCTGGTTGGTGTGTTTTAGGATTCACACCTGCACCCCACAAAGCCCTCCTGGCTGGCTCGGTGAAGAGCGGGAGGTCACGTCCCCATTCCCCGGGGACTCCGCGAGAGGGCGGAAGGAGGCACGAGGGTCCTTACCCAGGAAGATGGAGATGATGAGCCGCAGCGCCTGTTCTGACGCGCCCAGAGACGTCGCCAACTTGTTAAAGCTCAGCTCCTCCACACCCCACCGCAGCACCCTTGCCAGCTCTGTCACGGTTCCCACGTCCCCCTCAGCAGCAGACGCCATCTTAGCTCCGGGCGCCCCCCAGGGACCCCTCAGCTCCCTGAGTCCCGAATGTTGGCACGACACTGAAGCTTCACCCCCAATTCCGGCCCGGAGCCCGCCCACGGTGTGCGCATTGGCTGCACACCCGCCCAGAGGCTCCAGGCGCTTCCGATTATTGGTCGAACCTACTAGGGGGCGGGGCCTAACGCAGCAAGGTAGGCAGAGGGCGGGACGGAAGGTTTGTAATGCAAAGGTGACTCGGGCCAGAATGAACCAGGAGCTGCACGGGGGTGGGCGGGGCTTGGAATTGGAAAGTGGAGTTGTGATTGGAAAAGTCTAAAGCCCACGGCAAGGTGATTGTACAACTCGGTTCTAACTGTTTAGGGGAGGAGTCGGTGAGGGCGAATGTCCGGCCGGCTCGTGCGCTGCCTTCCCATTGGCTGAGACGGAGCAGGCGAGAGTCGGGGCGGGGGGGGCGGTGGCCCGTCCTCCGACCGCGAGGTTACTCTCGGTCGCCGGCGGGCCGAGGTTACTGGGGCATGTAACGGGGAGGGCGGGAAATTCTGCTGCAGCTTCGCGAGCGCCTCCTAACGGTATCTCGGGGCCGTTCTTAAACCGTTAGACACGCCGCCTGCACTCCTAAAGGGTCTCTGGAGAGCACAGCGCCCCGGAACACTATTTGCCTGCTCCTTTTATTTCATGCACCTCTTTCATGTGATTTCCTATATTAAAATGTTACCTTCCCCCGAGAACCGATGAAATTAAGACAGGCCGATTCAATCGTTATTTTCAGTAAAAGTTAAACTACTTATGTCACTATTTAAGTAATATAGGTTTATGATAAAAGTTCAAGCAGTAGAGGCATTTATAAAACAAAATAAAAGTGTGTGCCCCCCCCCCCCCCCGCTTCTAACCCTTATTTCCTAAAGGTTAACCACTATTCAGATTACACCATCAAAGTGTTGGCGAGGATGTGGAGAGAAGGGAGCCCTTGAGGATTGTTGGTGGGAATGCAGATTGGTGCCGCCACGTTGGAAAGCAGTATGGAGTTACCTCAGAAAATTAAAAATGTAACTGCTTTATGACCCAGTGAATCCATTTCTGGGAATATATCTGAAGAAACCTGAAACACTAATTTGAAAGGATATATGCACCTCTATGTTCATTGCAGCATTATTTACAATAGCCAAGATTTGGAAGCAGCCCAAGTGTCCATTTTACTTTTTGTGACAGCATGGATGGACCTGGAGAGCATTATGCTAAGGGAAATAAGCCAGTCAAAGAAAAACAAGTACCATATGATTTCATTCACATGTGAAATCTAATGAACAAAACAAGCAAAATAGAAAGAGATTTATAGATAAAGAACAGACTGACAACTGTCACAAGGGAAGAGGGTTGTGGAACTGGGAGAAAAAGGCGAAGGGATTAAGCAAAATAAATAAATAAATAAATAAATCCCATAAAAAACTTATAGACACAGACAATAGAATGAACAGTATGGTGATTACTGAAAAGGGGAAGTGGGTGGAGGAAGTAGAAGAGGGTATGGGGGGATAAATTGTGATGGAAGGAGACTTGACTTGGGGGTGGTGAACACACAATGCAATATACAGATGATGTATTATACAATTGTACACCTGAAACCTATATGATTTTATTAACCAATGTCACCCCAATAAATTCAATAAAAAAAAAAAGATTACACTATCAAAAATCTGTTGAGCACTTAGCATGTACCAGTGTCTCTGCTGGGCTCTGGGGAATATAATGATGAGCCCAAAGCTATGGAGTGGGGATGATGCACAGTCACACTATAGTGTTAATGCGAGTGTAATTGCATGTGAAGGTAAGTCCTTTGAAGGAAAGGAACAAGGTTCTATGAGAGTACATAACAGAGGAACATTAAAAGTTTTTTGCAATAACTGGAATTTGTGAAGCATTCTTCTATAATTACAGCTTATAGTATTTCTTTAGCATTTTGTACTTTATAAATCATTTACCCATATTATTTCACTTAATTTGACTGTGAAATAGGATATTTATTATTATGATGTCCTCTTGAAGACACAAAGGCTTGGAGAAACTAAGGAACTCCCTAAGTTCCTTTCCCAGTACGTCGTAGAGACAGAATTTAAACCTAAATCTGTAAAATTCCATCTCTTCCCTTTTGGTCAGCAAAATTTAAACTATATGAAATATTCAGAAAAGCAGAGAGTAATATAACTTCGCCCACGTTAAGAAACAAACAACAGCCCTGGCCAGTTTGGCTCAGCGGTTAGAGCATCAGCCTGCGGTCCCGAGAGACCCGGGTTCGGTTCCCGCTAAGGGCATGTACCTTGGTTGCAGTTTGTTCCTGGCCCTGGTGGCAGCCACTCGATGTGTCCCTTTCACATCGATGTTTCTCTCTCTCTCTCTCTCTCTCTTCCTCTCTCTCCCTCCCACTCTACCTGAACAAAAAATGTCCTCGGGTGAGGAAAAAAAAAAAAAAAGTAACAAACAACACATTATACAGTTGAAGGGCCTGGTATATCCCTTCTCCATGGCATTTCTTCCTTCCCTTCTCAAAGGCCACCATTTTGCTGACTTTGTATTTGTCAACCCCATGCCCACTTTTATACTTTACATACTGTCTATATCCAGAAGCAATATATAATTTCACATGCTTTTAAACATCAATTCAGAATCAGGTCTGCAGGCTGACATGCTAACCACTGAGCCAAACTGGCCAGGGCACAAAAGATACTCTTAATTGTAAGGTTTTAGGAGCTTTGTACCTGGAATTAAGGGCAAGGACTATATATATTTCTTTATTTTTATTTTCTAAAACTTTTATTTCTATTTTTTAAAAACTTATCTTTATTGTTGAATGTATGGCAAACGTGCCCCCTTTTTTCCCCATTGACCCCCTACTTCCCCAATCCCGCTTCCCCACACTATTGTTGGTGTCCATTGGTTATGTATATATAGAAGTTCTTTGGTTTATCTCATCCCGCCCTTCCTCCCTCCTTCCCTTTGAGATTCATCAGTCTAACAACCAATTTGTACTTCTTAATTCCTTCATCTTTTTCACCCAATCCCCACAGCCCCTGCCCATTGGCAAGCAACAAAAAGTTCTCTGTATCTAGGAGTCTGTTTCTGTTCTGCTTGCTCATTTTGTTTTTGTAGATTCAATTGTTGATAGATATGTATTAATTGCCATTTTATTGTTCATATTTTTGTTCTTTTCCTTCAAGAAGACCCTTCAACATTTCATATAAAACTGGTTTGGTGGTGATGAACTCCTTTAGCTTTTTCTTGTCTGGGAAACTCTTGATATGTCCATCGATTCTAAATGACAGCTTTGCAGGATAGAGTAATCTTGGTTGTAGGTGGCTGCTTTTCATCACCTTGAATATCTCTTGCCATTCCTTTCTGGCCTGCAAAGTTTCTTTTGAGAAATCACCTGACAGTCTTATGGGAGCTCCTTTGTAGGTGATGAACTGCTTTTCTCTTGCTGCTTTTAAGATTCTCTCATTGGATGGCCCAGGGAAGGGCTCACCAAAGCAACATCAGCCTCTGCCAGCAAGTCAGTCCAGGAGAAAGCCACCACTCCAGTCCTCCTCCTGAGGCTAAACAGCTCAGGTCTTCCCTGTATGTCTCTGGTGCCCCTCAAGCTGCCTCCCCTCCAAGCTTACATGGAGCACATCCAAGTTTTCAGCTACTGATGTTACAAACAAAATATTGGAGCACAGAATTGAGGAAAAGACTTAAACCAGATTTTTCTTCAGTTAGTTAAAAATATGGATCCTGAAGCAGAGGGACCACAGATTATCAAAGTGACACCTCTTCAACAAATGCTTGCTTCTTGTACTGGAGCTATACTGACATCACTAATGGTGACACCCCTGGATGTTGTTAAAATTCAACTGCAAGCCCAAAGCAATCCATTTCATAAAGGAAAATGTTTTGTATATAGTAATGGACTTATGGATCATCTATGTATCTGTGAAGAGGAAGGCAACAAAGCGTGGTATAAGAAGCCAGGATATTTCCGGGGAACATTGAAATTTAAGGATTGTGACAACCTTGTGGTGAGCAAGTCTATCGGTGCCATTTTTCCAACAGCATTTGCTTAGTTTGTGTGTCTGTGTCACATTTTGGTAATTCCCACAATATTTCAGACTCTCTCGGTATTATTATATTTGTTATGGTGGTCTGTGATCAGTGATCTTTGATATTAGGATTATAATTGTTTTGGGGTGCCATGAACCATGCCCATATGGAACAACGAACTTAACTGCTAAAAAAAAAAAAAATAATAAGATTCTCTCATTGTCTTTAACCTTTGGCATTTTGATGATGATGTGTGTTGGTGTGGACCTCTTTGGGTTCATCTTGTTTGGGACTCTCTGGGTTTTCTGGACTTGTATGTCTGTTTCCTTCACCAAGTTAGGGAAGTTTTCTGTCATTATTTTTTCAAATAGGTTTTCAATTTCTTATGCTCTCTTCTCCATCTGGCACCCCTGTGATGTGAATGTTGGCACGCTTGAAGTTGTCCCAGAGGCTCCTTACACTGTCCTCATTTTTTTGGATTCTTTTTTCTTTTTGCTGTTCTGATTGAGTGTTTTTTGCTCCTTATATTCCAATTCAATGGTTTGCTTCTTGGCTTTATCTACTCTACTATTATTCCCTATAAATTATTCTTTTTTTTTTTTTAATGAGAGAGAATGGAAAGGAGGGAAGAAGAGAGAGACAGAGACACCTATTGGTTGCCTTCTGCATGACCCCAACCAGGGCAGGTGACTGAACTGCAACCATGGTACGTGCCCTTGACTGGAATTGAACTGTGACTCTTTGGTTCATGGACCAATGCTCTAACCACGGGGCCACACCGGCCAGGGCTAAATTATTCCTTATTTCCTTCATTTCTTACTGGTCCTTTTTGATGTTGTTAATGTCACTAAGTTCCTTGGAGTTCTCCTTAAGTTTCTTGAAGGTCTCACTAAGTTTCTTTTTTATCATTTGGTACGTGCCCCTAGCAGGAACTGAACCTGGGGACTCTCTAGCCCGCACGCTGATGCTCCAACCACTGAGCCAAACCGAGGCTCACTAAGTTTCTTGAGCATTCTTGTAACCAGTGCTTTGAACTCTGCAT